AATTCAATGTTTTGGCTGAACGCAGCCCTGATGTTTGTCACTGACTCTGATTGAATAATTAATAAATACTTTAGGTCGGACTAAACCATTTTTATGGAGGTAAGAGAAGCAGATATTTGGAAAAATATTTAACCAAATTCGCTCTGTGGACGAGAAAAATGCTAACTTCCGGCTTGAGGGCGGATGTTGGGTACGATCGGTTCCGGTTGCCATTGTTTACATCAGTGGACCGGCTATCTAAAGCTTAGCTATCTAAATATATTTGTCTAAAACTATGTTCGTTTGTTCATTGTCAAGTTAATTAACACAGTTTTCATTCATATTTGGGTGCAGGTGCGAGTTACTATCTTGAGGCCACGAGATAGTATCTTGAGGCCACGAGTTACTATCTTGAGGCCACGAGTTACTATCTTGAGGCCACGAGTTAGTATCTTGAGGCCACGAGTTAGTATCTTGAGACCACGAGTTAGTATCTTGAGACCACAAAATAGTTAGCAGCTATAGTTAATTTTTTTTGCCAAAGTGGGACAAGGGGGGCTCCGTATAATCGAGACGGAGGCTGGGACTAACAATCAGGGAGCAACACTGTTCATGTAAAGCTGGGTAGGTCTCTATTCACTTCTATAATCGTTATTACAAAGCAAACGGACTACACAAGTACTCTATAACGTTGTATTTATTAGTGTGCTACCGTATCAACAACCGGTATGAGAACCGAAATCATAACCTAAAACATTATAAAACAGTCTAACTAGTATAACTTCACACTCACAGTAAGGTTAGAAGTAAACAAAGATGTGCTTGTTGATCTTTGTGGGGTTTAGCTGACTGAGGACGTCCATACAGTTTAATCCAAACACGACACTTGTCATTGTCAGGATTTTACTTCGGTTTTGGGAAGGGAAAAAACGGACACCCCCCTCCAACCTCTCTGGAAAACGCGTATCTGTGTTGCAAATGCCCGAAGCACAACGTTTGTGATTTTGGGTCCAGTATGTTGATACAATACATCAAAGTGATATTTTGGATAAAACTTTGAAGGTAATAGCCTGCCGAGACCAAAAATATGAGACGCCTGTGTTGAAAGTTAATGGAGCGCAGTGAAAAACTGTCAGACCTCTGTGGGAGCTGGTTCTTGGCTGATCTGTGATTGGTCAATCTACATTCTAAGGCGTGGCTTAGCCAAAGGTGAATTGAACGTTTTGTGGTTTTCATTTAAATCTCAGGCAACTAATATAAATATTATTTATACAACAAATAGTAACTTTTGTGGGGCCCCCTGGTCAGCGGGGGTCCCTATAATTGTCACCACCTTTCACCCCACTAGTGGCCCTACATCACCTACACTCTAAAAAATGCTGGGTTGTTTTAACCCAACTTTGGGTCAAATATGGACTAACCCAGCCGTTGGGTTAAATTTTTACATTACATTTTTAACCCAACATTTCGGGTTTGTCCATATTTGACCCAAAATTGGGTTAAAACAACCCAGCATTTTTTAGAGTGTATATGACCAGACAATTAGTTTATCACTTTGATGTACTGTATCAACATACTGGACCCAAAATCACACAAAAAACACAAAATCCGAATAGAAATATTATAGCTTTTGTACTACGAAAAACACAAACATGCTCAATGAAGCAATTTAAAAGGTTTAAAATGTAAACACAAGTTGTAAATGTCAAAATATACAGGAAAAATACAGAGAGCTATTTTTAAGGCCTTGCTTGCAGAGTATGAGGGTTCCCAAATAGTGCAAATACAACATAAAAAAAACTATATACATGCTGCTAAAAGCAGGTGTGGCAATAGGCATTTTTTCTTTCCTTTTTTTGCTTAGAAACTACAAAACACTTCATGTACAATTACACAGCTTTCATTCCTTGAGTAAGAGGGGTTCCTCAGTAGTGCAAATATACCACACAAAAGGTAAAATGAACACAAAATCAAACCGTACATTCAAATAATTACAACAAATATCGGGTGTGTTTATTTGTTGTTGTTTTTTTGCCACTCCTCAAAACAGTTTATCTAATCTAACCCTAAACTAGCCTACTCCTAAACTATCTACACTACTCCTAAACTACCTAAACTACTCCTAAACTATCTACACCACTCCTAAACTACTCTCGAAATCTACTCAAACAAGCAATAATTGCTCTCTCTCTCTCTCTCTCTCTCTCTCTCTCTCTCTCTCTCTCTCTCTCTCTCTCTCTCTCTCTCTCTCTTTTCTTCTTTAATGATGATTTTTATCAAACTTGTATATTTAAGTTTAGTAATTTCACTAAAATGGCAATGATAATTACCTATTAATTGTTATTTAAGTGAAATTACTGAACTTAAATATACAAGTTTGCTAAAAATCATCATTAAAGAAGAAAATTTCAAATGGCATTTAGAGGCTTTTTCATCTGAACTCTTCATATATATATATATGTATATATATATACATATATATATATATATATATATATATATATATATATATATATATATATATATATATATATATATGTATATATATATCTATATATATATATCTATATATATATATATATATATATATATATATATATATATATAAACGTATGTCTCTCTTTGTCTACTCCGTAAATCTCCTGCCTTTCACTTTCGTGTCTTTGCTCAGTTGGCTCCTCCTTAATTTGTAAAATATGCAGCCTGAAGAGCAGAATCAGCAGATTCACACATTTTTCTCCGTTTTGTTTTATGACAAAAACTGACAAAGTTATTAGAATAAATGCAACGTCTGTCACATATCCCATCTTGCGTTCTTTTACGAACGTGTCAATATACGCGTAAATTTTTTATATAAAGTTTAAATTATCATATCTCCGTTTTTACTATTGAGAATGAGGAGTCACGTGCCTATTTGGGTGGGGTCTGAGCCGGTCGGCCATGATGGTTGGAGACGCTATCGGTTACCAGGGGAAACGCCTTTAGAACCCATAGACGCGACTAAACATTCCAGAGCTCTTAAATTTTCGCGCATTTATTATTTTGGCAGGACAGAGATGGATCTAAGAGTACGAGAAAAAAAGGAAGAAAGTAAAGCAATGCTAAAAGATAAGGCGAAAGAAAAGGGACCTTTTTAGGAACAAACTCACACAAAGTGCAAAACAGCTGTATTTGGAGAAGCAGCATCAATATATTTGTTCTTTTGCACTAATAAAAGTATTATTATTTTATTATTATTATTACTTATGTTGTCCATGAAACTTATGTTGTCCAAATAGCCTATATATTTCAGTTTTCAATAAATATTGTTAAGCCATATCAAGTTGTTTCAAACATTTATTTCAATGAAATAAAAAAGTAATGAACAAGGCACTCAAACAACACTTTTGCATATGTTTGTTAAGGCACAGCAAACAGTGAAAATCGTATACTAAAGGCATCAACAAACCTAGCAATCCGGCGTCTCCTCGTTAGATCAGACTCTCCCTGCTGTGTCAATTTCGGCAACCCCAAAAACTTAATTCCATTGTTACTATGTTTTCCATATGTATCGTGTGAGCTACTGGAGGAGTTTTTAACGCAGCAGTTACTTCCAGGCATGGTAAAACAGTGCGGTATTGCGAGAAACTCCTCTACTACCGAGCTAAAAACACACGTAATCAATACTGTTTTGCCGTGGGAATCCTACCAACATGGCGGAAAGGGGAGGGGCACTGTAAAATGACGTCAACTCCTCATTCTCAATCAACACAAAAAAAAGTAAAATAGAATTTCAAGTCAGCACTTTCGACAGAAGACAGCAGCGCTCAACATGACTTTGTTTTTATGCTTCGGCGTCTTAAACTGGACATGTACTTGATCACGCCGGTGTGATTGGCGACCCCGAAGGGTTAAACTTTGGTTAGATGACGTTATCGGATCCTAACCCTACCCCAGACCTAAACCTACCCCTACCCCTTCACCTAACCGACGTTAAAGGTAGCGTCAGTTGTATGACGGCCCGGGATCGTCATGTAACCGACGTTTAAGGGTACCCTAAAAAGGCGGACGTTGACGTATGGTCAAAAGATGTCCCAAGACGTCAGTTATGTGACTTCTTGGGATGAGACCATAGCACATCAAACAGCCTTGTGCTATCTGGGATGTTACTCGTACTTAGCCAGATGGAGATTCTTATTAAGAAGAACATTCTGAAAGTGTTTGTACAAGTGAGTCTGTATAATGAACTCCAAAAATCTTTAATTTCTTATAGTGTTTATGATTTGACAAAATTTATGTTTAATGTGAAAAATACACAATATGCCTGACTTCATGCAAGTGTGCTAAGGTTTATGACTGACTTTACAAGAACACGTATAAAGGAAAATTTGTTACACATCTTACATGTACAGTATAACTATAAATTATGCATTATTACATGCTAACCCTAAACCAAGCCTAGCCCTAACCCCTAACCTTAAAGAACTTCATTAGTACTACTCAGTACTTAAATATATACTGTATAATTACACTGTAAAATAAAGTGTAACCAAATTTATTTATATTTAAAACAAGCATTAAACTCAAAACATATTAAGAACATTTAAATCTACTCGTCAAAATGTTAACGCTATTTATTATTTTTGAGTAGCCTACCATTTATGACCATATTTATATTTTGTAATCTGAAGCATCTAAAATAATTATTGATAGTGTGTATATAATATATAATGTATAATATTACAATATAACAGTGCATATTATAATATAACACTCTCATTACTACTGTCCCCTAATTATTTGTCCAATTATTACTTAGCCTATTTAGAAAATAAATGCCTAGCTTAATCTGAGGGTATGAGAGTATGCATTTATTGATTATTTAATAATTATAGAATTAAAAAAAATGTTTTAAACAATCATATTATACTTTTTTCCTTATTAGATTAGTCATCCAATCAAGCTGTTCTGCTTCTCTAAGAAAATTAGAGAACTGGCTTATAATGTATTTGAGGAAGTGAAACTGCTTGAGACGAATCAGATCATATCTTAAACGAAAGGAAACAACTTTTCTCCCATTATCACGAACAAAATATGGTGAGTTTTACTGGATTTTATCTCTTTGCTAGTCGGTCAGAATTATTGAGAAACACGCTTGCTCGAATACAGCTTAAAGACAAACTGGTGCAGTTTTGACAGTTCAGCCAAAATTTGAATTGACTGAAATTTACCAACATTCATGTCATTCCAAACCTGTATGACTTTCATTCTTCTGAAGAAAAACAAGGAGATATTTTATATATATATATATATTTATATATTGAAGAGTTTAGTTGCAAAAGCCTCTAAGTGCATTGAAATTTTCTTCTAGAATGATAATTTTTATCAAGCTTGTATAAGTTCAGTAATTTCACTTAAATGGCAATGAAAATTACCTATGAATTGTTATTTAAGTGAAATTACTGAAGTTAAATATACAAGTTTGATAAAAATCATCATTAAAGAAGAAAATTTCAAATGGCATTTAGAGGCTTTTGCATCTGAACTCTTCATTATGTTTATGTTTATATATATATATAGTGCCATGTCCTCTCTCTTCCTCCAGGCAAATGCTGGTAGCAGCAGTAGCAGTACCATCAGAGAGCTGCATTTTGTTAAATGGTTAGTGAATTCTGATTTAAATGAGAATCCCTCTGACAACACTGATGAGGATGATATCGATGAAAGTGGACTGAAGATGTGCAATGAATGGGATTCAGACCTGCACGTCCCTGAGGAACAGTACCATCTACCCCGGAGCAGCCCTGTCATGTCCCGCAAGAGACACAACACAGAGACAGAAAAGACGTCTGATCTGTCTTTGACACCTCCAATATGGGAACTATCCATCTCTCCAATGACGAAATCAAACGATCCAAGTGCACATAGATTCAGTCGTGTTGAGAAAGAGAGAGACCTTGATCACAATGATTCACCCAAGGGCTCTTCAAGACAGACACAGTTCCTCGCAGGTAATCATGGCCGAGGAATTTCAAGTGTCTCTCAGGACACTCAGCTTCACAGCCAGTCTTTAGTGTCTGGACGGTTACATGAGGGTTTCCAGTCAAAGACTAAAAGAGCCTGCTCTGACATCCCACTACCATCTAGGCAGAGGGGCTCAGACCAAGCCACAGAAGACTTCTACAGTTTGGACAAGGTAGGTATGCTGTAAAAATGATTTTGGGGCATGAGGAATGGGCCAATTTAAATGGGACCATGCCCCCTTTTAACAAGATAGCTAATACGTCTCTGTCTGTAAAGTTCCATCTCTAAATACCTCAAATCATTTATGACACCATAGTGTAAATGCCCATTTTTGAGTGGAAGGAAAACTGTTTTTGTGCATGTATCTTTAAATTCTGCGCCACACCCTGCTTTCCAGAAGAGGGTGGAGCCTGTACAGCTCATGCCTTGAAGACTCTGCCAAAAACTAAAACATATGTTTGGTTTTATTATTATCATGTCTATCGTGGTCATGCTCATGTGACATTGCAGTTCTTTATCATCGCGAAAGTCTAATGCATTTTAAAGCCATATCAGTTTAAAATACTGATAATTGGTTTTCTGAGCGCACACATCTGAAGAACGCGCACAGAAAGCTGTTAAACTAAATTCTCTTTTACGTCTTATTGCGCTTAAAATGTCAAATACACACATGGTTCACATAAACACAGTCAGTTATGTCTGTGAATAGGCGAAAGTGAAGAAATCACATGTGTACATTAGATCTGTGTATTATAGTGACACTGTAACAGCAGCGTAATATGCAGTCGCCTACTTACTTCTATCCTGTTAAACAACAAAAGAAAAACAGAAAATTACTCACTGTTCTTGATTTAATTAACTTATCATAATTAGCTTGTAATTCATTTGTTACTTGAATGCTGCTTTAATGCTTTGGCAATGAGATAAACATGCGGACTGTGTACAGTTCACTGAGGGCGGGGTCGATTCTAATAGAGCAGAGTCCTTCAGCAATAGTGGGCGTGGCCTAAGCATAGTTAGAATCTGCAAATGCTAATTCTGAGACACTGCTTTTGATTTCTGGGGATAAAAATTGTGTGGGTGGATTTTTTTCCATTATTGGGTGGTTGTGTACACACAATGCTGACACACATTTATGATCAAACACCATGTAAAATTGAATTTTGCATAATAGGTCAACAATAGTGCATCATTTTTAAGACTAAACTCTGGGCATTTGCATCTTCAGAGCCTATAGCATATACAGTAAAGTATATATTGTTGTTTGTCTGCAGGAAAATGCTCATTTTGTAGTTGTGGATATGGTGCTGGAAGTTCTGGAGGCTGTGAAATGGGTTGTGTGTCTGCAGCAGTTAAAAAATGCACATCCACATCAAGACAGATGTGAAACACACAATACTTCAAAAACTGATTCAATCTCTTCCTTTGACAGCGGGTTTGAGGGTAAGATCAGATTGTGTTGCGACAAAATCCCGTGTCATCCGCATGTGATGTGGTCCTGCAAATATCAGATAATGCTGACCTGGACTCAAAAAAAACAAACAGCTGGTCATCAGTAGTGTTTTCTGCAGGCTGTATTTTGCTGAAATAAGCAATGACTTCACCACAATTATAAGTACATTTTACAATAATGTTCAAATGTTAACATTAATGAATGCGGTAGGTGTCATTTAACTAACAGTTAAGAATATTTTCTTAGCATTTATCAGTGACATACTGTTTTATAGTTAAATAATGATAACTGGTGCTATTGTCTCGCGTAATACTCTCATGAGTTTCTTGTGTCACCTCAGAAGACTACATTTTAGTAGGTCTTTTACCATAAAACTATTAAGTATTTACTGTATGCTGTTGCCCTGTTTGGCTGATTATTTAGTACTATTTTTCTTAGCGAAAGCTTTAAACTCAAATGAATATTTCATGTCATGTAAGAAGCAGGATAATGCACAATCAGCCGATCATTATCACAAAACTCAGTTTAAAAAATAACTTGGTATACAAAGAAAGGAACATTAATCAAGATTAATAAATGCTGTGCAAACATCGTTTTGTATTATTAAATTGTAGTTATTACATAATGTTGAAGTATAAACCCCATTTGTAAACCGCTATAGACAGTTACAAAGAAATTGTTTCTATATAATCATAATGCAAAAGTATGACACCCCACCATGCAGATTGTTTAATAGTTTTAAAAGAAAAACAATTCCTGTTCTGAAGCAAATATAAAGAAAAATCTTGTCTATTTGTTTCTCTGTCAGATGACAGCGCCTCCCAACTGTTTTCAAACAGACACTCCCTAGCTTCATTTCAGAGGTATGCACTGAATTCTACATGCACAAGTTCATGTAATTATTTTTACGTTTTTTTATGCACAAGTTCCAGACAGAATTGTTTTATTCCCAGTTGTCTCCAGAGCTATAGAATGCAGTGGTCTGCTGAAGATTTAGCCCAGAATTTGGTGTCAGAGTTCAGGAAGCAGTGGTTCCCATCTGAGCAACTGCAAAACCCTGTCAACCTCAACTCTGCTCTGCAGGAAGTGAGAATGGTTATGCATAAACAACACACATTCATGCACTGAGTGAGAACACACAGGTGCAGCCACACACACACACACACACACACACACCTCTCTTTGGTACACACATAGAACTGTTTTAAGGACATATACTTTTCATCAGAATGAATTGATCAATTCTAACTGTTTTTTTGTTTTTTTTTTTCCCTGCAGGTCGCTTTGGCAGAGGACAGGATCAGTCTAACTGAAGAGATCATGCAGAAGACCAGAATGAGAGGAACATTAACCTGGGCTCCACCCAGATTTCAAATCATCTTATGTGTCCAGCCAACACACAGGTGAGCAAGACCACCATATTCATTAACAGAGTTTATACATTCAAGCAAGTGTTACTTTGAAATAGTAAAACAACAAACAAACAAAAAAACAACAACAACAATTCGGCCATCATTTACTCATCCTCAGGTTGTTCCAAATCTGTATGAATTTCTATATTGAGCTGAACACAAAAGAAGATATTTGGAAGAATATGGGTATTCATTAACAGTTGATGGGCCCCATTGACTTGAATACTAATGGAAGTATGGGGCCAATCAACTGTTTGGTTACAATGATTCTTCAGAATATCTTCTTTTGTGTTCAACAGGAAAAAAAGAAATGCATACAGCTTTGGAACAACTTGAAGGTAAGTAGATGATTTTTTGGCTGAACTATTCCTTTAACTGCAACAAATATTTTGTAGTAAGACTCAAGTACATCTTGATAGCATGATAGCATTTATGGTAAACTATTTTATGTCATTTCTATTGAAACTTCATTGTCATGCATTTAAATATATTTGTAAATAAGGAAGAAAAATACTGTAAATGTAATACTTAATAACACACATACAGTTCAAATAAAAGCAAGTACTTTACATGCGACTTAGTTATGTACATTTTAAAGGTGTGAAACAGTCATGAAAGTGTACTCTATTTTAGTAAGTGGTCTTTCACTATTATTATATTATATGCAACTTAATAGTAGACTACAAGTGCACATATAGAAGTAAGCGCATTTCTTTTTCACACGGGTGTTCATATAAATATGTTTTCAGACGCAGTGATGTCATCACTTCACAGTACTTCCTGTGTGCAGGTTGTGGTACTGAAGTCGAGCCCAGTGAGTAATGAAGCTGCTCTTAATATGATTCATGCGATCCAAAACGTATAGTCCTGTTACGTTAAACCTTGAAAATGTCTCCCTCCCAAGGGTATATGAAGAAATTGCGGTATTGTGACTATCTGGGAAGATACTTTTGTGATGGCTGCCACGGTGGTTTGGAATCAGTGATTCCAGCTCGGGTTCTGAATAACTGGGATTTTGCACGGTATCCGGTCTGCCATTTTTCCAGACAAATACTGGACTCTATATGGCAGCAACCGCTTTTCAAACTTACAAGTGTGGCCAAAAACCTGTACAGCCAGGCCAAAGAGCTACAGCATTTCAGAGTGAGTGTTTTATTCTGCCTTGTTTTTGTAGAGTATACAGTATGTATGTGTTTTGCTGGGGTGATATCAGGTAAATCAGGTTGCATGGGTTGTTATCTCATGATAATATTAAGTATGTTCTCTCATTTACTTTAGGAACTACAGGAGCAACTAATATTCATCAAAAAGCTTCTGAGTACATGCAGACTATCAGCTGGGTGATTTGTCTCTTCTCTAGCACTCTTGTTTCCGGCCAATTTCGGTATAGAGAATTCATAATGGACATTCTTGGCAGTGCCACAAACAAGCAGGATATCATGTTTCTTTAAGAAAGCTGGGTAGTGAGTAGGTTTTTCTTTGTTGACACCTGTTTCTCTAACCAGAGTCCTAAATGAGTTTGAACAACTTCCTGCTCACCTGATGCAGGAACTCCACTTCTTTTCAATGGATGAACTCATCAGGGTGAAAAGGGGTCAGCTCTGTACCATTGCAAAAGCCTTGCTGCAGTCTGCAGTTGCTCACATAGACCTTTGTGAGGTTTGTCCAGCTATTATTTAGACGCCTACAAAGTCAATTTTTGTAAATGATGCGTGATTATAGGATTGTATGATCACAGTCGTGGTCTAACATGGTTTATATATAAACATTGTATCTGTGGAACAAAAAAAAAAAAAAAGTTTTACAATGAACAGTGTATACGTAGATCATTACACTGTACTATCTTTGTATAAATCTCAACAGTCACCATCTCTCTTACAATCTTCAGCTGTGTCAGGCCAAAGGTTTTATCTGTGAGTTCTGTCATGGGAAAGAAGTGCTTTTCCCTTTTCAGAGAGACATCTGCACACGCTGCCAAGGTCAGATATCAACATACTAAATGCAGTTCCAACACTCTGTTTTCAAAATAACTCAAAACAATGTTTCTGTTCAACTTGCTTTAGCAGTCAGTGTAAGAAGAGAACTCATTAATACAAGCTGTGTAAGGCCATTCCTGCATTTCATGAAATGACAGTAGCCTTGTACCTTGGATTTCTTTTTAGATTGCAGAGCCTGTTTCCACATCTCATGTGTCCGTGATGAATCGTGTCCCAAATGTGCCAGACTCCAGAAACGGAAGAAAATCCAGGAAGAGATCAGTTTATGAAATCGACACGTCCCTTGCTGCATGCAAAAATGTTCCGGTCTGCAGACTTCTTGAACTGTTCAAAATGACTACTTGAAAGATACTGACATAATTGTGTAACTAACATATAAATGGCTTTTTAATATATGTGCTGTTGATGTTTTACATAGTATTTCCATTAACAAGCATTGCACAGAGACCATGTCTGATATGTTCATATTATTATGGTTACACAGGATCAGGATTAAATTACTTGCATCACTTGCACTTAAAAACTCACAGTTGAAATGTGGACATTGAAATGAATCTGTGCACATTCATTTTTCTTCCCTGACATTCAAATGTTAACATAACACCACAGAATGCATACACAATATTATTATGAAATGTGACTATATATCAACTCAAGGAGTGTTGTGTTAACATTTTGAATATTATGTGTTAACATAATATATAATAAAATTGTTTACTTGCAAATGCTGATTTGACACTTTTGTCTCATGGGCAAACAAGCACACTAACTTTTTTATAAAGCTTTAATGGGGGCAATTTAATTGCCAAAATTAAAGCTCAACTGTAGCTTTCCATTATTCGAAACTTTCCATTTTTTGAAAGACTGATGTATTGATATATATTTATATATATTGATGTTTTCTTTTCACATGTAATTAATGTGTAATTATTGAAATGGTTTAGGTTTATGTTAAGTCATTGTTTTAAACATGTACTAATTCATAGTAGCCTATTACGGATAATATTAATTGAATTATTTTTTTTTTTCAATTTAATATTTAAGATTTAAAGTCGGGATAAAGGGTATAATCTATAGACATTTATTGAGACAAACATCCTATTATTTTTTTAAATGAAATAGAAAAGTACTGTCAGAAGTGGGATTCGAACCCACGCCTCCATTCGGAGACCAGAAATCCCGCTTTACAGGAAGGACTGAACCTTGAGTCTGGCGCCTTAGACCGCTCGGCCATCCTGACATACGTCATTATTGAGGCAATCAAGGTTTTCTACCTTGTCACTACATTTCTTCATAAAGCTCTAACATTAATAAAATCGGTAGCCTACTGTTGATTAGTGTTTCCCCCATATCATACGAATTATAGGTATGTTGACATAGCAACCGCGCTCGGCGGACATTCTGCCTCAATAATTTGTTCCAAACTCTGCGGTACTGTTTAGATGCGTGTCATGCAATATCCACTCCTCGCCGCCTGGTGTAAATATGTTTTTCCTGAATACGATAGTAACTACGACGAGTACAACCCCGGGAAGCATTAGACATTTCGAGCTTTCAGCCCTGAGGTGTTTTCAGATCACCGCAACTCACGGAACATTTGAGTGGCTTTCAACCGGTCGGTGGGCTCATCTAAGCTTTTGGACACTAATGAAAGGTAGGTGGACATAAATCTATACCTTTTATCTCGGTACTGACGAAGTTTCATCGAAATCCATGGTGGAGAATGTATTTAAATAAATCGCGGAAATATTGTTGGTCACATTTGTGATGAGATTAGCGAACGTCCTGTCAGAGAAACTAGGCAGCGTTCTAAAAAACAAAACAAAAAAACTCATTCTAACGGTGTTCTCCTGGAAATTATTACTGATGCTATGTAGTTTAATATGCATCTCATGGTTTTCATGACATAATAATAGCATTAGTTTACATCCTAACTGATTATGAAATGAAAATCTTTTTATTTAATCTCCTTAATTTGAAAATGTATTATTCTCAGGAATTTTCTTCTTGCATTTTCCAAGATAAGTAAATATTCTCAGTACTTCCAATAAATTATTAAATATTTCCATGTAGCAATGTGGATACCCCTGTTTGGGAATCACTTCTCTAGCTGAATACATCAAATCCTTACAATTCATAACTGTGTATATAATATAAAAGTGGCATTTCATTGGATCTATGAATGTTATCAAAAAGTTATGCTTGTGTGTTGTCTGTATTAATTTCGTTTACTAGTTTACCCAAATTATCTTGCAAAACAAGCCATGTTGATTAGTCTATTTATGTCTAATTTCACTGAATCTTGTAGATTATGTAGACTAATATTTGATGTTATGTCTTTACAGCTAATTATGAAAAGAAGAAAGAGGAGGATGAAACAATGAGAGCCACAGGAGGAACTGCACAAACGTCAAGCCACAAAAGAAAGATAGAGAAGTGAACAAGAACGGAAAGTGTTAGAGAAAAAGATTGAAGAATAGAAAAAGATTGAAGAATAGGTGCAGACAAGATCGAGGAAGTGTTTCCAGAACTCCCTGAAGAAAAAATTAGCTTGATCAAGGAGTTGTTGGGTGGCCTAGGGGTGGGAGCATTTATATGTCATGCGTGGGATTTGGGTGGCAACAGGGTAATTTTCAATGGGAAAATTGAAACTTTCAAGGCAAAAAAAAAAAGAAAAAGAAATACACTGTTGGCTATTGGGACATGAGTGGGGAGGGGTATGAATTTGATGCATGACACTGATGTGTCCATCTATGCGATGGCAGCAGATATCATCTTGGATGACTTGGTTGTACAATAGCTTTGTCAAAGTTACCAACTCAGTCAGCACCATCACACAGATATCCTGATATTTGTACCGATCATTCATTGAAAAAAAAGAATGAATATGAATGTATATTTGCATATTTAAGCATGTATAAATATGAATTCACAATTAATAGTAATAGTAATAAAAAGTTGTCTTTGCTTGTATTTTGAAAATAAATGTGTATGAATATGAATGAACGCTTAATAATTATTATTGTTTTTCGTGAAGGGTCTAATGCCCATTCCAACTAAAGTAAATGTTCATGGTTTCATTTAAAAGAATGAACTAAAATCTACCTTCTGTTCAAATTTCATGCAAATATCTGATAAAATGAGGAAATTACAGCAAAAACGTGAATAATAGGAATTTTCGATCACATGCTTTCTATTGTAACTAATGTATATTATTTTAATATTATCCAGGATGTTATAAATATCATTACTTTCTCAATCCTCAACCAATTTTCACAAACCATGTGTCATTTTAACGGGAATTTTCAGCTCTGTGCAGTCATGTGATTAATTTTGAGCTTAGAGGTGTTTGAAAATTTTGTCATCATACCTACGAATTACTCTAATTGTTCAGAATATCAGATTTTTAAAATGTATTCTTTTACGACGCCTTCTCGTGCTCACATTAAAACTGCTAGGCCTACTTTATCAAGCGATATAATATAAATCTCGGTTATAGTTGTTCATTTCAAATGCTTTATCCTTTAAGAAGCAAGACAGCACTGTATTCAGAAAAAGACGTGTAGCGCTAACGTTAGCATAAGGTATAGCGGTATGTGTGCGAAACCAAAGTCAATCTGGTGAAATCTTAGCTCCCACAAACAAGTGACAACACACAGACAACATTCATGTTGTGTGATTTCTTGTGGAGGGCAACTTTCTCATACTTCTCATAACGAGAGTTTCGTTTCGTGTACTGTTTGAGGCTTTACAAAACGCCGCCACACAATTGAAAACAGGTACTTCACAAGCAAGACTGAACATTAAGTTTCTGGTTAGTTGGTCATGATATAGTAACGTTCAGAGGAGAAAAGCCAACATTATACTACTGTTATTGTGTCACGAAATGTAGTTTTAATAGTTTTTCAGCCGACAATGTAGTTGTTTAAAGCTCAAATCCGTGGTCGGAGCCTCGGAGGACACTTCGGCCATATTCTTTTTCTTCTTCTTCTTCTTCTTTGAGCTTATTGGCGGTTCGCATTCTTAAAAAGAGCATTAGCGCCATCTACTGCAGGAATAGATCAGAGACACTATAGCACAACTCCCAGAACAATCAGGACTTGTGCTTTCAATGTTGCTGCGTGTTCAGCTCCTCCATTTACAGCCAAAGTCCACCATCTTCCAGAGAAGGATACTGATACTAATAATACTAATAGCTTATCTATATTCTAAAGATCAAATTTGTTCTACTTAAAAACTTTATTATTAACCTACTCCCCTCTACTGAGTTTAAAACCATCTGAAACGTTAATTGTTGATCATCTTTCAACTTAAATTCTTCAATCATTTTACTTCTTTCCTCAGAATATTTATTACACTTAATAAGTGCATGCTCCACTGTTTCTCTGATTCCTTCGGCCATCTTTCTCGGGCGTCTTTGTATTTATTATTCTCTTCAATTTTACATTCGATCGCCCCCTGGTAGGTGGCTGACCTGCAGTATAGGTCAAACCCGCATCCGTGTCAGTGTATCACGCTTTAGTTAGCTAGCCTATTTAATGCTATACAACGGGGTTTAATCAATAAACACAACTTCTCACCAAACATGGCTTTTATCTGGAATAATAAGCATTTGTGTCTATTTATAAGTATTTGTTTAATATAGTTTTTGTGTGAAAAAAAAATATCATGAAGGCCTACACGTTGACCTATTCTGAATTTCTCTCTATACAATTCCAGTAACTCTTAAAGATTATGCTGCACGTAGTTGTGGATGCTGTCTAAAAATGCCTCTTAAAATTCCCTGTCCTCAGCTCTCTCTGGATCCTGCTGATATTGTTGAATCTGTTTCTCTTTCCCCCACATTAGTAATAGGTGTTGGGTTTTGTTTCAAAGAAATGTTCTCCAACTCTGCTTTTATATAATTTTGGAATGGGTGTGTTGATGGTCTGTAAAATTTGGAAACTTTCTCATATTTACTTTCTCTCACAAAATGTATATTAAACTAATTTATATACCTTCCAATTACTATCTTGTAAACAGGTTTAATTGTGATATTGGTAAATTTCTTGTTTAGATGCAGAGTTGTCCTCATTAGGGCCTGTGCACCGATGATGTGAGGACACTTTTGGAATTCCTCTGTTTATTCAGCTTGTTTTTGTGAATTTTTAAGGCTCACATCATTTAACTGTTTTGAAAATATGTTACTTGTTTTTTTTCCCTTCCTACTGTATGATGTCTTATCATAAGGAATATTATTTAATTAATATGCTACTTAGCTAAATTTAGACGTAGACTTAGACTT